TGGCAGAATGAGCTCCCGTCATCAAAGTCACGCAAAAACCTGCCTGGGGTGGGGGGCGAACCCCAGGCAAGGGAAAAACCCTCTACATCCGTGGGGGTGCGTGCGTGGGGGGGATGCACCCCTGTGCATGCATGCACAGGGGCAGAGGGGTGTCCGTGCACACGTTGGGGTGTCCATGTCTGTTCCCACAGCCGGGAGGCATCTGCTCTAAGTGCAAAGACACGAGTCCCCGGGGGCCGTGCAGATGGCGGTGCCCCCTTAGGAGCACTTTAGGCCCATTAGCAGCCCTGGCAGGGCCACCTGAGCCCCCGCAGCAGCCCCCCGCAGCCCCAGGGAGAGGGTCTGGGTGCTGGCAGCGAGCAGGGGCTGCCTCAGGCAGGGCTGGCCCCAGCCACGCTCCGAGGGGCCCCATGCCTCCGTGCTATCACGTCTCACCAGCTCCCCACCGCAGCCACGCTCGGGTTTATTTTCAGCTGAGAAGTGTGAGTCATTTCAGGATTTAAAAGGAAGAGAAAATAAACCCAACCCACAAATAAAAAAAATAAAAAAAAAACAGATTTTTTTTTCCTTTTTAAAAAAATCAGAGTATTTATTTTCTAATCTCATCATGACAGCTTTTTGGTGGGGTCCTATGAGTAGGGAGGTGGGCACTCACCCCCAGTGTCACAGTGGGCACAGTGCCCTGCCCACACGCATGTGGCTGAGCCCCAGTGGCCCGGCAGGACCAGCATGTTCCTGTGGCCCAGGCCATGGTAGGGGTCCTGGGGCCACGTCCCCAGAGCCGGGCATGCCCCACCAGCATCTTGCAGGCAGAGGACACAGCACTGCCAGCTTGGGAGGGAGCAGGGAGACGCAGCCAGAGGGTGTCATGACCCCCGCAGCAACAACCCACCACAAGGGGAAACCGAGGCACGATGGCTCTAAATACACCAGCACTGGCCAGAGGTGGCCCTGTGTCCTACCAGGCACCATAACCAGCATGATACCCAGAAGCACAGTGCCCAGAGGTGTGGTACCCAGAGATGCAGTACCCAGGGGCATGGTACCCAGAGGAGCGATGCCCAGAGGCACTCAGAGGTACAGTAACCAGAAGCATGACACCTGAGGAGACCCAATACCCAGACGCACAATATCCAAGGAGGCATGATCTCTAGAAGCATGACACTCCAGGAGGACTGGTACCCAGGGGTGCAATACCCAGAGACAAAACATCGAAGGAGACACGATACCCAGACTCAAGATGCACAAGGACGCACAATATTCAAGGAAGCACAGTACCCAGCAGTGCGATATCCCAGGGCATGATACCCCAGGAGACAACGTACCCAAAGAAGCACAATACCCACTGACATGACATGCAAGGAGGTATGACACCCAAGGAGGGATGACACCCAGAAACATAATACCCAGAGATACAACAATCAAGGGGGCATGACAGCCGAACGCCTGATACCCAAGGAGACGCGATACCCAGAGGCACAATACCCGCGAAGACAGAGTACAATACCCAAGGAGGTGCGATATCCACAGGCGCAACACCCAAGGAGGTGCAATACTGAAGAAGGCACAACATCTGAGGAGATGCAACGCCCCAAGGGGTGATACCCAGACAGAAGGGTGACCAACCCCTCCAGTTCCAGTGCCATGAGGGCTCCTTGGGGCCACCCTGAGGGAGGGCCAGCCCGGCACCATGGCTGCCCATGGGCTCTGGGTGAATGAGCAAACCCCGGTCAGCAACCCCCAACACCAGTACCAGAAGCCCCATGCTGGGCCATGGGGATGCCGGGCCAGCAGGAGCCCTGGGCTCTGCCATGGCCACGGCTGGCTGGGCTGGATGTGGGCTCCCCCCTCCCCGTCCGTGTGTCCAACACTGGGAATTTGTTTCCTGTGAAGGGAAGGCTACCACGGTTCTGCTGGGGCTGCAGGAGGACAAGAGCCCTTTCATGCCGGCTGTGCCACCCCAGGGCACGGAGCAAAGCCGCCGGCACAGCATGGAGCCGGAGGGGGGCACAGCCCAAGGTCCCCCCAACCCACTGGGCAGCACTTCCCACCCCTGATATACCTTGAAGCCCTGTCACGAGGGGTGCCATGCAGCCCTGACTCAGAGCACCCGCTGACTCACAGTATCTCCATGGCATCACACCAGGGCCACCGCGGCTGCTTGCCGGCACAGGCACTCCGGGATACCACCGGGAAGAGGGGAGAGCACAGGAGTGGCTGCCAGGGCCATGGCGTGTGGGCTGTGTGAGGGTGGTCACTGCCCCATGGGACACCATCCCCAAACCATCCCATCCCCAAACGGCACAGCACTGCTCAAGCACACCGAGATGGTAACTCACCTCCTCTTGCTGCCGGATCACCTCCTTTGGATGGAGAGAGGGACGGACAGAGGGATGGAGAGAGGGAAGGATGGAGGGATGGACGGCAACCCCCAGCCCCCTGCTCAGCCACAACCACTCCAGGTGCCGGCGACTACCTTGGGGCTGGCAGAGGGGCCGTGGCGAGGGTCGGGCAAGGCCAGGGCGAGCGCAGAGGCTGTGCCTGGGATGGGATGCCGAGCGCGGCTGAGTCTCCCCACTGACTGACTCGTCGGCACAAATGTTTCAGCAGGGGCTGAGTGCCACCACCAGGGAGGTGGAGCTGGGGACAAACAGCCACGGCCTCCGCGGCCGGCCGGG